TAACTATTCCAAGTTTGGACCTAGTAAAAGAGAATATATGACTTCATATTTACCTCCTAATGACAGTGTCAGGGACTTGCTAGCTGTGTCAAGCTATGGATGTTTTTTAGAAAAGAACTGCAATATCTTGATGTTTGATGGGTCTATCTCTGTAAATGAGAAAGGAGGTTCTCACATCATTTGTGTTTTGAAGAACTAAGAGACAAGGAGACTGTTAATCATTTTTCAGATTGTTTGGTCAGTGTTAGAGGGCCTGTTATTGCATTCTAATCATATCGGTTAAAATTCTGTTGTTGGAAATGCAAAAGAAATGGAAGGGATGAATGTAGAGAATGCATTGAGAGCTGAAAAGTTGAATTACATATACGTAAAGAATTAGTTGAGCTTTCGATGCATTAGGATCTGTGCAATACTCATTAGTAGTTGGAAAGTATGTGACAGTTTTAAGGTGATTACATTTGGTGTCAGCTATTGAAGGGTTATTTTCCCTTCTCTTAATATTTTGATTCTGAATGTGACTTATTTGTCTGAAATCTGAGTTCAGTTTCTGATGGACAACATTTTCAGGTATCACGATGAATAAAGGGATAGGGAGAATAGGAGGAGAAGTCGTAGTAGAAGAAGGGATAAATATGATTGTGACGGGTACCGGGGCAGGGAAAGGGATGATCATCATTGAAGCATGAGCCGGAGCATCAGTCCTGATCACCAGTCATCGTGGGAGGAATGATCAGAGGGGCCAGTCTAATGGAAGGTAGCAACTTTTGCCTTCTATTTGCTTCTATATTTTTTTTTTCATCACTATAATTTTTGCCTTCTTTCATCACCTATTTTTTTCTTATCTGGTGGTTAAAATGCCTTTCCTCCTCGCTATAGCCTGAACTCTAGGAGCCAATCTCCTTGCAGGACACGTCATGGGTTTGAGAATGCTGATGAACACAGTGGTAACGATGATTCTCCTGGACCAAGAAGTGTTTCATCATGTGGCCGGCGTGCCGATTCTCAAAGCATGTCTCCTCATAGGTCCTATGGTGATGTGAGTAGCTGTACCAGATTTTGACCTATTAATTAACACGTTCCAAAAATTGTGCTAATCCTTTCATACTGGCATTCTCCGTTTTGTAGGAATGATGGCAAAATGCCATGTCCTTAAAGCATCACATCCGAGTGAGTTGGACTTAACTGGTTCTGTAATGCAGAAGAAATATTGAAGTAATGCTTACTATCAGCAAAATATTGAGTTATAGAGTTGGCTGCAAGTAGTGTTTATTGAGGTTTAAGTTTCTTT